ATTGTTTGGGTGGACATTTCGTCTTTTTAAACTGGAAAGGAAATATAAAAAATTGAAGTAGCCGTAAAGAAAAAGTTTTGGCTTTTGGAATATGGTGTATCTCTTTTTACACTTATTTCTTGTGACTGCTGTCTCCTACCATAATTGTCTCTTTCGTAGATTGCGAATAAGAGTCCATCGCTGTGTATAAGCATCAGAATGCTTTGAAAAAAGGCTTGCAAGTTAGGAGTAAATGGTAGTAAGTGTGATGCCTTTTTTGGTTATCTCTATGTGGCATTTTGTGAAAGACTGTGGCTGTATTCGGGTGTTGGAGTCCTAATTGCTCAGTGCTTGACAGTCACATTGAATATAAATCAAAGTGGTTTTTAATTTAAGCTTCCATTATCTTATTTAGCAAGCACAATTTGCCCTTGTGGTGCAGAGAAAGTTCATTAGACCCAACTTAAACTAGTGGAGAATTTACCGAACTTTCAGCTATTCGGGCGTTGGGAATGAGATCGATTGTATCGTAGAATTAAATGCGAGAGATGAATCGATTAAAGATGTTATTAGTGTAATCGGGGACTGTTAGGAGAAAGCTTTAAAGAAAAAATGATTATTCATTTTGTAGGCAGATCAGAATCCATGTAAATTACAAGAGGTTCACGAATATAAGGAGGGAGCACTAGTGGTACCTTTTGATGTTTCTTCGTTGGAAAAGGTATCGCAGTTCTTCGACAAGTACGAGGAATTAGTGGGCATCTTGAGCACTCGTTTATATGAGAAAAAAGAACAGATTGATAGCTGCGCTTCAGCAAAGTCTCAGGTCGCTGGGAAAGTTGAAGAAGAAATGCAGCGAAATGCGTTCATAAGGTTGTTAACTGTTAATTCTGAATTTTTGAACACTGTACTAAGATGTTTGTGCAAATGACCTCCCATTTTAAGAACTTCTGGCTTCAGCTGAAGGACTTGACAGTCAGTATTTATATCTCTGCGCCGGTCAAAGTGCTGATTTTTGAAAGTTTATAGTAATATAAAGAAGTGATTTTTATTGGTAATAAAATGACGATATGGGGAAGCAGATCTCATAGAAGTTTAACAGGTAGCGAAGATACAGTAATGTAACATTGAATTAAAGTTTACTTCTTTGATGAGTTTTTCCCTGCATACGATTTCTGGACTTGCTCTACCTCGCAGATTGCATAGGTTTAAACCGGCTAGTCATTTGAAGATAGTGTTGTAATTTTGATCACAGGTTTTTTTGGTCAAGTCATGCTTGAGCTTATAGGTCAGTAAAGTAGGGGTAAAGTTTAAGGCATTAAAGAACAGACAGAAAATCAGCAAATTTTCACTGGAGTTCTGTTAGTTAGTTGAAGTAGGAGGGAGTGCAAATTGCGGCAAAGTTGAGAATGTTTACATTAGGAAAGTCAGTGGGGGTAATTACGGTGCAATTTCTGGTAATTTAGGACTAACTTTGAAAGGTTTCTACGATGATAGGCAGTCTTCGAATGTTAAAGGACGGTTGCTTGAAGCATAATATACGGATCGATTTAGCAAAGTAGTTCTTCAAGATCGTTTTGTCAACTGTGATGGGGGTTTTTATCGGGGCTTCAACATTAGTTATTTTATTGTGTCAAATTGTCACTGTAATATCTGTCAAGATTCTCGCTGAGCTTTAGGTTTTATGCTCAAATTGTTTGGATTCTCATGACTTAAACCTTGGAGTAAGTTTTTTCTTGTCCAATTG